TCATTTGTAGTATGCAGTCAAAATATGGAAACACATAGGTACGATTATTATTTTTTGTTATTATCATTAGATAGAGCTAGAACCATTTCCTCCATTAGTCACTCCACACTTCAAATGTTTTCTTTTCTTTTCGAGCATCGTTGTTCTAAAGAAAAAATATACCCAGTCTGCAACAGCGGTTGGCACGCTCACTTTAATCAGTGAAGAGAGTTTAATTTCATCAAATGGCTCGACATCAGTATTGCAGTGTCAACAAACAGAGTGTCACGTTCTTTTATAGCCTTAATTGGGCTCAGTTGGCCAGATTAACTCGAAGTGGCGTAAAGCGCCGAGCAAACAGTGGGTCGGGGTGGTACGAGGCGCGGCGCGGCGCGGCCCCAGACGTGGCCGCGCGGCGCCGCTCGTCACCGCGGTCGCCACCGCGGTAGCTCCGGCTCCGCTTCTGGTAATTGTTTACACCGGGGTGATTAAATTAATGGCCGCATATTTAACCGGATGAATTTTTAATCGGCTTGTGAGCACGCGGCGCCGGTGCACGGTCGATAGGCAGAGAGCTGAGCCGGCCGGCCGGGCGCGTTTTGTTAGTTACCTGATCATTACCGGTCTGTGGACTCCCGGCGGGTCGGCCGCGCCGTACAGACAATTATTCACCCGCCCAGGTCCTTCATTGGACTAGTGGATCGAATCACGCTATATCGGTGTAAAAATGCGCGGCCGCTGGCGGTGAAGGTGTCCCCGGGGACGAGCTGTCTCGGTGCGGCACCGGCTCGGCGCACCCCTCCCGTCTCCACGGCACCCACTCCCACATTACACAGAATCAAATAATTAGATTCCTCAATTGCCACAGGATCTCTGCAATTACTTTCCAATTAGTGGCTCGATGGCATAAGTGGAGAGTGTAATCCGGCGCCGGTTTTGACACGGCCCGGCCGGTCGGTATCGGGGGGCGATCAGCGTCCGCGGCTCGGCGCCGGCCCGACAGTTCCGTCCTCAAACACAGCGCGCGCCGCCGAGCGGCCCACTCTAATCGGCGACCGCCAATGCAATCATACCGGCCGCCCCGTCACTGACATTAGAAACCTTTTACCAATCTAGGATTTCTGATGTGCCTCGAACGGCTGGCCTGGCCGCCGTGCCGCTCGCTCTCAAACATACATCGTCGCTTAAATATACAGCATAATCGCTCCATGCATTCGGCTACGGCATCGTAAATCGTTGCAAGTGCATTTTTCCATCGCACTGCTCACATGCATAGGTAAACAACAATGGAAATGGAAATGGCCATCATAAACGCGATATATGACGCCATACATTAGCTACATGTCCATCACGGCGATTAGGTCTTGCTTTAAGAAATTAACCACCAGCTTAGATACTCTACTGGATTATGCAGGCAAATTAAAGCACCCTTTTACAATCAGGGTAAAGTGTAGCGTATGGTCATTCTGAATTGAAAAGTAAGACAGAGGCCTTCGTTTCCATTGTGAATCAGTGAACTGTTTTGTATTTTATTGAGGGGTGATTCGAGCCAGACATGTAGTTATTCTCAATTACGTTTGAGCCGGCTAGTGCGAATCGTCAGTAACTGAAATGTGTCTACCAAGTTAGTTTGCTAGTGCTGATCGCAAATGAGATACCTAATTGTGTCAAAAGAAGAAGTCGTTGTTTTCTTGGACAGATGGATCTCAATTCACAAGTGCAGTTTCTTGGCTTCATGCTTTTACTTGTATCGATAATAAATTACACTTGTCATCGCATATATGCTCATTGTGTCCATTATCCTAAAGCACAACAGCCGAGAAGCGGACAGTGCACAGGCATACAAATGTGTACCGCCGTATAAGCAGGTGCCATTCCTCTCCCACAATGAGGCTGTCTCCTGCCGGCCGTGCCGTTCCACTGCAGTGGACGGCTGGACACCCTTCCGGTCGTTGTTGATTCAGCCGTTATCAAGTCCAGACGGCTGGACGCCTGGTCCCCTCCCATCCGGCCAGTGGCCACCGCTGCTGAGCACAGCAGCACCAAACAAGCCTTCCGGTCCACCTGCAATCACATCACCTCACACCCCGACGCCGACACGATTTCGTATTCATGAAAATCTGTCAATATGCAAAACTGCCTGTTAGGCCGACAAATTGTTTCACTCAATTGTAGCGACTCGCTCTGATGGGATTAGCCGGGCCCGTGAATCCCCGGGGCTTCGCCGCTCTCTCCCAGTCGACAGCGAGGACACGAACCTAGCCCCTCATCTAGAGTTCTGCACGGCTGCAATTTTCCACAGCCTAGCCGCCCCGCAGCCGTGGCTCCACAGCCACAGCCGCCCACAGCCGTGGCAAACTGTGGGCAGCCAGCCGTCAGCCGGCCGTGGATAATTTCAATGAAATGCAACCAAATAGTATATAATAAGTTGTTTTTAGTTGAAACATATAGCCAAAAGCACATTGCAATGGGCTATAGATTCTCAAGCTCATGAAGCATCATAGGTTAAGTGGTTGTGTATCTGCTTCGGCCTGAAGCCTGATGCGCATCGCATGCCTACACAAGCCCTTGCAAGGGGTTAAGAAAGATGGGTAGGTAGGTACCTACATCAACAGAAAACATAAACAACGAACCAGAATAGAAGCACTAGCAGTGTAGACATCTAGGTAATGCCAAATCCTGAAGCATGGTTGTGGGACAGAACAACAGACCCTGATGCTTTTCATTATCAATGTTAGGGATGGAAAATGAAACTGAAGTTGATGGACTGTCAAACAGTTATTGTCAAGTCAAAACTCTTGCTTCTTTCTTACCTTGCATATTTTCTGGGGTGTGATATGCCAGGCTTGAAGCAGCCTTCTGAGCAAGTCTCAAACTAATTTGATATGCAAGGCATCAAAACACTAGTGAGCATCCAAGAAAGAAAAACATTCATCTATTTTGATTTTTCCAAATAATGATCTTCGCTCAAATCCCCAAGGACGTGCGAGTCACAATTGCCTCTTTCAATCAAAAATTTTACTTGAGTTTTTCATGACGTCAATAGCAAAGAAGTGGCAATTATTTGTTTTGTGTCACTATCAACAGCCATAAAAAATTAAAACATAAATAATAATGCTAAACAATTAAAAACTTGCCCTCAAATAAAGAATCATTATCAATTATTTTTACATTTTTAGAAGAAGACGTCATTTTATTAGTAAAGTCAACACCTCGCGTAAGAAAAATTGTGTTCAGGGTTTTCACCGTCATGTGAATTACGTGTTCAGGGTTTTCACCATCATGTGAATAAACCGTAAGTAAGGTTCATGCTCACTTATTATCTAATTCCATTGGCTTCGTTGATCAGCATTTTCTGTTAGCGGTCACTCACACACCAGTTAGAACATAAAGCGCCAGTTTTATATTATGTAATAGGACTTGCCGAAAATCCAGAAATACATCTAAGAGTTATTTTAGATAATATTTTATGAAGCCTTTACCTGCCTTTACCTAGGCGTGATTTTTTTTTCTATTACCTGAAATAACTATTGAATGCTCGTCTTCAATAGCTGTAAGGTGCTCTCTTAATGACCAGGTGAGATTGATTTGAGAGGGATGTGACAATGCAACATGTTGCATTTTCTGAAACTGTCAAGCTCTTGATGATGAAGGAACAATTGGTACCTATAATTAGTATTCTGTACCAAAGTGCAAACTCCCCTACAGCAAATGGCAAAACCATTACAGGTTTTCAAAGGCTTATACACTTTCAATGTTGCTGGGCATCCTTTGCATGATTTTTACAGGCTAGACTGCTTATCAGAATGTAAGATTTAGGATTTAAAATTTTATATTTGAGTACTTAAGATTGAGCTTGAAATCTCACAGCCGTGGCCACAGCCGTAGCCGTGTTCTTGGAGATATTTGCAGCCGCCCCGGCCCACAGCCGTGGGGCTGCAGCCAGCCGCGGCTGCAGCCGGCCGGTGCAGACCTCTACCCTCATCTCTCGTATTGCTTTGTATCAGCCTTGTCGTTTTGTATTGTGGCACTGGTTATTGGTTTTGTATTGTTTTGGTCTGGTGTTTTTTCGTACCTGTCTTGTTTACAATGTTTTTAGTTCAAATGATATTTGTGCGCATATAGCAAGCCACAATGGAATTAGAAGTGTGCAATCATTCCTTTCTGCATCCTGCTTTTAGTTTTGGCTAAAACATATGTCATTGGTTCGAAACAGACCTGAATTCAGTTGTTAATGGCCACCATCTACTCATACATCAATGTCATCCCATCATCGTTAATAATCTTGTGCAAATTAATCGCATCAAATTATCATTCCACGCAAATTACACAAGTTGATTCAAATTACACCATTTAGCCTCCTGAGACCTAATTCGTTTCATTGCTAATTAACTTTTCAGATTACCGGTTAAATTAATTTAGGAACACGTTCCGAGCCCGCCGGCTTTGTTACTGAAGTCATCAGTGGACGTCGGAACAGCCGTAGTCAAAGAATATCCACCGGCGGATTAAATAACACACGGGGAACGGCACGGAGATACGATCTAAACTCTGATGGCTCGTGCCGATCGTTGATTAGAGCTGTCACAGCTCGCTATCTAACATGCTATCAGGTGGTGCGCTGTTACGTGCAACCGTTTTGCAAAATATGATTTTAAGAGGAATGCGTGGGTGTTCTACTTTAGTTGATACGCATATTTTGACTGGAATCGAAAATTCAGCGAAAATCCAAAGCGGCAGGACGGAAGATGCCCAATGCCTTTAATCATCAGCAATGAATGCCTCCTCGGGATCCCTGCTTGCACCGGGTCTCCTTTCACGTTTTCCCTGCTCCGGACCCCGTACTCCGCGTCCCCCACTCCAGTCCTCCGCGCCCCTCCAGTCCTCTGCTCCGGTTGGAGCACCGCCGGAAGTTCCGGTCACCGAGTGCGGACGGGCCGCGCCCAGCCGGTGATTTGGCGCCTTGTTTACCCGCGCCGGTGGGGCGCGCTCCGGTGACACGGCCATCTGATTGGTTACAGGCCTGCACGGCACGCCGCGCGATGATGGAGATACCCGACTCGACCGTCCGACGGCCGGCGGGGGCCACTGAGCCGGGCCGCAGCCGCTCCGAGGGATCCTCCGACGCCGAGGACACGCAGACGCCGGCGCATAACCAGGTGGGAGCGCTGGAGGTGACGCAGAGTGGAGACAGCACCGTTATTGGGAAAAGAGAAGAGTTGTTGCAATTATGAGACAGGTCAATCGGTGAGGTCATGCTGCTATAGTTGTTGCCAAGTGATTTATTAGCTTCCCTATAGAAAGATCAATTTTTAAACGGAGCCAGGATATTTCAATTTGTAACAACTTGCAATGAGAGCTAGGGTCTAGGGTTATAAATGAAATACCATCACTACAATGCAATTGTATGGTCACGATTCTATTGAATTACTAATGAAACGAAATAAATTATTTTACACAGGAAATATTAAAAAGGTGTTTTGGTAGAAATGTGTGAAGCCTTTTTCTCTTACCGGCACGCCCATTCTAATTGGTGTTTTTTTTTTTTAGAACCGCACACGTTTTTAACCCACCGATCTCCGCCGTCAGGTAAGCACGGTCGTTCTCTACGGAGTGCCCATCGTCTCACTGACAATGGACGGCAAGGACCGTCTCTGCCTGGCGCAGATCTCCAACACGCTGCTCAAGAGTTTCAGCTACAACGAGATCCACAACCGGCGCGTGGCGCTGGGCATCACGTGCATCCAGTGCACGCCCGTACAACTGGAGATTCTGCGCCGCGCCGGCGCCATGCCCGTCTCCAGCCGGCGCTGCGGCATGATCACCAAGAGGGAGGCCGAGCGACTCTGCAAGAGCTTCCTGGGGGACAACTCGCCGCCCAAGCTGCCCGACAACTTCACGTTCGACGTGCTGCACCAGTGCGCCTGGGGCTGCCAGGGTCAGTTCTACCCGGCGCGCTACAACTCGTCGCGAGCCAAGTGCATCAAGTGCACGCTGTGCGCCACCTTCTTCTCACCCAACAAGTTCATCTTTCACTCGCACCGGACCGCCGAAGCGACGTACGTGCAGCCGGATGCGGCCAACTTCAACTCGTGGCGTCGTCACATTCGGCTGCACGGCAGTCCGCCGGAGGAGATCGTGCACGCCTGGGAGGACGTCAAAGCCATGTTCAACGGCGGCACCAGGAAGCGGGCCGGGCCGGCGGCGGCAGCGGCGGCGCCCGCGGCCAAGACGGCGCGCTCTGAGCCCAGCGGCACGTCGGCCGTCGACCTGGTGACCTCCTACCCCGAGCCGAGCCTGGTGCGGCCGACGCCGAGCCTGGTGGCCCCTCCAGCGGCCGCCTGCTTCCCGCGGCTGCCGGCGTTCGGCGCCTACAAGCGTCTGTCGGCGCTGGAGCCGCCGTCCTTCTCCGACTACCTGTGGCCGGCCGGCAAGTGGGCCGAACTGGCGCCGCTGGCCGCGCCCGGCCACCTCTGGCCCAAGCGGGCCGCGTTCGGGTTCCCGCTGGCGGCGCCGGCCATGCTCGGCGGCCTGGTGGACTACTCCGGTCTGTACGCCGGCCTGCCGCTGTCCGCAGAGCCGCCGGCCATCAAGCCGCCCAAGTCGCCGCCGGCCGCCGCCGCCGCCGCCGCCGCTGCCTCGGCGTTCCGGCCGCTGCGCCAGCCGTGGCTGACGGACGGAGAGGCAGAGGTCAGCAGAGGCCAGGCGCTGCTGGAGGCGGAGGTGCGGGCGCGCGCGTCCCTGGAGGCCCAGCTGCGGAGCCAGGAGGCGCAGGAGAGCGCCGAGGATGGCGAGCGCCGGAAATCCCTGGAGGACGACTGTCGCGCCGTCGCTGACACCACGCAGGTGGGTACCCAACGTGAGGGATGAGCATACCTATAAGCATACTAATTCTTATACCTAGTGCACAAACCTAATACACATACCTAAAGACATACATTAAACGTACACATTACACATGCATACTTTGCTGTGGTTGACGCCCTCCGCTCTTCAACAATTATTGCCGATTCCCCCAATCACTCGCGGCACTACAAACTTCGTAGTTAAGTAGGATGGGTTCGTGACTAGAATGACCTATCAGTCTACTAACTGGGTTAGCGTGTTTCACAGGTGATTTGAAAACCAATAAATTTAACAGCACGATTGCGTGACTGATGTTTCAAGCGATTGGCATAGCCCAGTCGTTTAATTTCTGATAGAGTGGTTGTCTATGATGAAGAGTACTTATCCAAAATGACCTTAGCTCTTGATTGAAATACCATGCACGTTTGATATGCATTTTCTAGGCCAATCTAACTGCATTTTTGTTTTATGATAATTTGTATTGCATCCTCACTCCATGTCCATCACCTCAGGCTCCTCACTTTTTATAGCTATCTTTTCACATACCTACATAAGACAGACCAAGAACAAACATATTAAATAGAAACTGCTGACGTAGCTGCAATAAAATTCATCAACCATGCTTCAAATGAAATCAGTTGTCGGTCATCTACCCCAATGCCCCTTGACCACCTTCTAGGAACCAGCGCACCTCAGGAGCCCCGCCCCGCCCCGGCCGCCGCCCCCGACCATTGGCCGAGCCGGTGTCGAGGCGCCGGCCGGCCATTTCGCCACCCAGCGATCTTTTGCCGGCCATCGACCTACCGAGCAGCGGACAATCGCAATTATATTAGCGGTAACAAAGCAGCGACTGGGCAAACAGTGCCGGCATCACCAGTAGTTATTGTAGTGGCCGACGCCGCCGACGCTGGCCGAGCGTCGCTGCCGGCAGCGGCCCTCTTTGTCACCGGCGGGTCGCCGTGGCAGGCAAACACGGCCCAGTTTGCTCTGGCTCCGCTTTCGGCCGGGCGTCGCGCCACGGCGGCCTTTCAGCACAGTTCAATTGTGGCTTTCATAGTGACGCGCGCGGTAATGCATTTTGGCGTCGTTTTATTTAATGAGGGCGCGCCGGCCGACTTTGCGTGGCGGACGTGCCGCGGCGCCGGCAGTGATGCGGCGATTACGCCAGCACGGTGCGCCATTGTCGCCGCGCGGCGGCTAATCGCCGCGTTCGGCTCGGCCGAGCCTCAATGGAAAGCAATCAGTCAGGCCGCGCCGCCGCCTACAATGCGCCACCGAACGCCCCGACTTGTTGCCTAACCTTTTAACATGATTGTACCGTGCGCGACGGCAAAATAATTACTCTAAAATGTTCATTGATTACCGGATGGCGATGAGATGACCCAGTCTCTGGTAACGCTCGATCAAAGTACAGCGAAGAGCAAGAGATCATTCAGTTCTGCCTCTACGAGTGTTTGATCGGCAATGACACTTCAGTGTCATGTCCATTGTCCAAAGTCGAAGAAAATCACTGTCAATCAACATTATCTAAGCAACGACATGCAATATAAGCAAGTACTTGTGAAGCCTATTGTAACCCTAATATATTGTTGGCATTTACAAATCTCCGTTTTCGAATTTGCCCTGCTTCATCCAGTGGCGTCCGCCTCGGTGCGGATTAACAGCGTGTCTCGGAGCAGCGACTGAGCCGACTCGGCCTGACGACTCGGCTGTGCGGTGTAATAGAGCGCTGCGCTCCGGTGACAGCACTCATTTGTCCGGCGTTCTCGGCGCCGGAGAGCGGGCCATTACAGAAATGGTGGGACTCGGCAGCCACCGGACGGTCGCCCGGTGCCGGCTGGCTCCCCTGACATCGACACCGCGCCCACCCTCCCCCTCTTCCCCGGCCACTCATCCCGTGGGCGGGGGACGTGCGAACTGCGAACTGCGTGAATCTGTGCTATTTGGGTTACAGATTTACCTTAGAAATATGATTTGGAGTTGATAGCTTTATGTCTGGAAATAATTCAACAATTGCTTCTTTAGACCTGGAGTTTTTGTGAGTTTTTCAGTGATTGTTACCGAAGCAACACAAAGTACCGTAGTAATAAAGTGCTGGCCATCTAACTAGTAAAGTAATATTTATAGTCGGATATAGAATCGTGGATAGCTTTGAAGATGCTACCAGATGTTTGACGTAGTTCCCATTTGCCTATTCTTATGTCAGCGTTAGTTCTATACCACTAGTTCTACACCACTATCAGAAATAATGCCTGTAAACTTGTGTACAAATGACTGCCTTTTGTGTATGCTGGAGTTTATATGATTTATTTTGTGGTAAACAATAAACACATGAAGGTCCGGAAATTTACAACTTAAAGCAATAAAAGTCATAAACCATAGAAAAAAAAAGTTAAAGAAAAAATGCAGTTCACATCCGTGCATTATTATTTAAACCGGCTTTATTACTATTTTTACCATCCTGTTTGACCAACCAGCTACACTAATGTCAGCTGCACCATTGTTTCTCAAATATGAGTTACGGGAGCCCTAAGCAAATACAATCGGTTTCTTTTCGGTAATCTTCTTAAGTGAATGTGACTTCCAGCGTACGAATTGGCAGCGATTAATGGAATAAATTGGAGGTACGAAATGCATTCCAGCCATTTGTCATTCCTGGGAAACCAATCATAAAATGAGCAAGAAAGTATCTACAAAGAGTCGATTTATGTGGGGCAGGGCACGCATTACCAAAGCTGTTACAATTCATTATGTTTCATACAAATGGCCGAGTTTTATTAGACAATTACCGGCATTTCAACTATAATTACAATTTGGTGCAGCTATTACATTTCGCTGTTTTCCTGAGTTTCCTAAGGAATCTAATCTTTTCATTTGAAAAGAAAAGTCTAAAGGAAACTGCTTCTAGTTCCCATGACTGTTTTATTCCGCTTTTGCCCGGCCAGAGACAAGTTCTAAAATAAGACGCAACAAGGGAAGAGACGAGTTTCAATTTTGCTATTGGTCATGAGATACAAGCGGTGGTATAAACTAATAACCTAATGATATTGATCATGTTCTCGTTCTGACCCGCAGGATCCCTCTTCTGGCCAGATGAGCAGCCGCTCTGCCATGCGGGACGGCACCGCTCGCTCGTCGCTGCTGCTGCTGAAATCCGAGTGAAGTCCCCCGAGCTCCGCCGTCACTGCTGATCGCTGGGTGAATCTGCCTCCAACTGGCAGCTGAGGCAGAGAGTGAGCTTCTCTGTTATCACTCAACTTACTATCCCTGTTGCTGATTAGTGGGGGATTGCCGCAGCTGAGAATCTTTGGTGAAAGACTCCCAATGCCATTCGACGATTGGAACTAGGCAGCGTGAACGCGCCGCCAGGGCGACAGCAGTGCTGCTGGTGTCACCATTGAACTCCAACATCTGAAAGAACTCCAACATCTGAATTGGGCCGGCGGCTTATGGGTAATGCCGCCATTTCTGAAACTGGGGCTTCGGTTCGGGCCGGTACCGCCTCAGACTCCAATGGTGATCACATAGTGAAATAGACACTGAAAGTGCGCACCGCAGTCAGCACGCAGTGTGCTGTTATTGAATGCTCCGAGCATAAAACTCATTCCTACGCGCTTTAACGGTTGGACTCGAGAGGAGGAAGTCATTGATCTCGATAGCTTATAGAGTATAGACGTAGAATGTGCGCGTCATATCGTAGTTGAGCACTACATGTTAAGTAGCAAATAAGAAAGGCGCGTATATGCATGTGAGTGCAGTGCTGATCAATGCCATGCGTTGCAATTAGACACAGCAATATTGAGACAAGAAGTAGTGAAGGGTGTATTATTTATTCATGGATGTTTTGACTATGAGTGAGATGTTTGACGATATCAATGATAACCAGGCGTGTCATTTACCGTTTCTGTTCGTGTAAAAGCTTGAAGGTGAATACAATCAATAAATAATTCCTATTTTTAGGCTCATTGTGCTACAGTTTTACAGTTCTGATAGCTCTTTGTATTGTTTCCGATGCTTATTCCTAATCAACTGATAACTTCTCTTGCTAAGGTGCATGAAAATAACCTACAAGTGTAAAACATACCTAGCATGAACCACATCAGGGGCCCAGTAATAACAGCAGGCCCTTTCATTTCACAAACCACGTGCAATGTGCACTGTTCGGTCTGTCACTAACTTCCGACTGTAAACTGGTGCACGCTACGTGATGTTCCATTGTGCTCACTTGACTCACCGGCATAATTACACTTAAGTGGCCCCACACGCCCGGTGCAGTGCTCATCATATCACTCTTATACACCTCAGCACCAGTTGCATGACTGTGCGGCCCGCGAGCGGGGAAATGAGTACCAGCCGGTTCTGCCGCCCGTCCCGGAATCCTGTTCCCCTGCCGTGCCCTCTCCCCTGTGGGGTCGCTCTGCTAGGTCCCCTGGGAGACGAGCCAAGTAGCGTGCAATCAGACGGCAGTCCGGTGCCTGATGGTAATCATCACGGACCAACACAATGCGTTAGCCCAATGCAGCCAGAATTAAATGGATAGAACGCATTCCCGCTACTTGCTATGTTAACTTTTGTTTTGTGGCGATAGTTTTTACTGCTATGTCCAATGTTCATAATGTAGATATGGTGTGAAGTGCGGATTGTTGAATATTACATGGAGTTGAAAGCTTTGTTAGCAATACACTGTGACATCTGACATTGCTTTTAACGTTATTCATGAGCGTGATAACCGCTCGTCTTTGCTGACTGATTTCAACATCAGGCATCATAATCGACCACTGAACCATGGGCCGTGGAGAACAGTGCATGTATGTACTTACAGCTGACGCTCGCCTGCATAGTTAACCCTCGCCCGTAAACGGCGATCTGCCACCTTCGCCCATGCAGGGGGGGGGGGGGGTTGGTGCGACCCCCCCCTGTATTTCGTTTGATTTCTTGGCGTTTGAAAACGGAGCGTCGTAAAGCTTAGCAGAAAAGACCAACGGATTGCTCTCGCCGAGATCTCGCGATTGGTGGTATATTTTTTGGTCCTAGGTCAACATTTGACCTACTTTTGACCGGTCAAAGGTCAAATTTTCGGAAAAATAGACTTTTTTCAACTTTCCGCGGCGATTGCGGCAAAACGGTGGGAGATATCGACTTGAAACCTTCACTATCGTGTTCCTTGATCAATTCTCTATCGTTTGGTATGTATTTCGTTTCCCTAGCTCTAAAAATGGCGCGTTGGGAGCGCCGGAAGTCGGCAAGGTCACAGTCGGCGGCAGAAATTCGAAAAATCAAAATTTAAATTTTTGAAATCTGATTGTATTTTTGGATTTGGAAGGTCCATTTGCTCCCTATAGAAGCTAATATTGCTGCATATTCCCATTGAGGTGACAAGAATTGGCAAAATAGTGGTTCGGGCGCTTTTCAAAAATAGTACCGGACGCTGTTCCTCTTGTGACGTCATAGCTCCGTGACCTGACCTGACCCGGTCAATTTTCTTATACCATATGATAGCCAATACTTGCCCCAACATGCATGGGAAGTTTCATCACGATCCATCAACCGATGTCCGTACCACCGGCAGGAAACCTCGGGCGTTGGCACTCAGTTTGTGAAAATCCGGCCGGAGGCTGTTCCCTTTGTGACGTCATAACTCCGTGACCTGACATGACCCGGTCAAATTTTTTTATCAAAAGATGCGCAAGGTTTGCCCCATAAGGTACCCAAAATTTGGCGGCGCTGCGCGCCGCCGTTTTTACACTATTTCCGAAAAACCTCAGGGGGGGGTGCACCAACCCCCCCCTACATGGGCGAGGGTTAACTGTGCCGCACTACTCCGGTACGCCTGGCGGTAGACTGTTCTGCACCACTCCGGTTCGCCTGACAGTAGACTGTGCCGCACTACTCCGGTACGCCTGGCGGTAGACTGTGCCGCACTACTCCCGTACATATGTACGCCTGACAGTAGACTGTGCTGCACTACTCCGGTACGCCTGGCGGTAGACTGTGCCGCACTACTCCCGTGCGCCTGCGTAGTTAACTGTGCCGCACTATTCCGGTACGCCTGCGTGTTAGACTGTTCCGCACCACTCCGGTTCGCCTGCGTGGTAGACTGTGCCGCACTACTCCGGTTCGCCTGCGCAGTAGACTGTGCCGCACTACTCCCGTACGCCTGACAATAGACTGCGCCGCACTACTCCGATACGCCTGCGAGGTAGACTGTGCCGCACTACTCCGGGACGCCTGCGTGCAGACTGTGCCGCATGGCACGGGACTTGAACGAAGCAGCTGCCGATGGGCTGCATCGCTTTTCACCATAGTTATAGGTGCGGGATTCGGGGATAGGAGACGTTAAGTTGTAAAGATCGTCCCGGTTGAAATAAGTCTAGATTCACGGTCGTTCATACTTGGGCAGATCAAATAAATGCAATGATAATGGTGATTGAGCTTGGCGAAGTGGCGTGAACATCGAGGATAAACGGTTTGTTTACTATGCACAAAAGCTAAAATAGAGAATAAGTAAGCTCAATGAATTAGAACAGGGGTAGTCGGTGACGCACTCGACATCAAATGGCCTTCAAACTTCAAAGCAAAAAGGCAGCCTCAAGCATTAACGGTAGGTACGTAATCCCCCTTTCAAGTCACATGTCGCTAGTTGTGATATAATCCTGTTATTTGCTGGACTTCCGCTGAAGTTCTCGTTTCCACCAGCACCGCATGCACTGGTCAGAGCCGGCCGGAGGGAGGGGGCTGTCACCATCACCCCTCCGTGCGCCCCCTTCTGTTCCCCTCCGGCTCACATCGCGCCGCACTTTGTCGACAGGCGCGCGACAAATAGAGAGGGGGAGCCGCACCGGCGACCAAGCGCAACGCGGCACCGCGCCACGTGCCCGCCGCCACGTGCCCTCACAGATTGACCACGTGCACGTGCAATCAGCGCCGTGACGCGGTCGTTTCGTGTTACATTGACGCAAATTGATTTAGCTTTCCTTTGGCGGCACCACGCCGGCCGCGTGCCACTGTATGGTAAATGGAGGCATGTATAGGCGTTCGGCGCTGTTCGATCCCGCGCCCGGTCTATGTCGAATTTCAGTTACTAAAACAACGGCGGTCGGCGGCGCGTAGATCATATACGGCGCGCGCCCATAGAGGGGGGCTATTGACTGCAGCGCCGATTACCGAATCAAAAGCGGCAATAAAGCGTGCTCATTCATTTACGTCGCGCCGTGCGGGAGTGCGGGGAGGGGGGAGTGCTGAGTGGGATTATGTCGTGTAGTTAAATACCCTACTGATCTACGCTGACAACGAGACGATTATCCAGGTCATCATTCTCGATTATTGGTCGCCTCGGGAGACACTTGAAGCCGACTGCGCGTGGACCGCTTCCCCGTCTGTGGATGAAAGAGCCCTTTCACAATCCTTCCCCGGGCTGCCAGCGGCGCAGAATACACGGCTGATGCGGTAGTGATGATCAGACTTACACGGGATCGCTGTCCGGGGAGGGAGGGGGAGGAGAGAGAGTCATTGATACGGCACCGGCCCGCGGCCGAGTGGACGGAGTGGCATCCGCGCGGCCCGAGAGGACTCTGGGTGCGGAGAGGGTGTACAGGGTGTTCACTAAAAATTGAGACAAAGTTTAGCAGGCTGTATCTTCGGTAAAAATGTACCGATTTAAACAAACGAGGCATTGTTGTAATGCACATTGCATCTGCTGCAAACCGTTGAGCGTCAACAGATTTGCCTGATTCCCGTAGGTCATTTTTTGGACATTTTCTTGTAAGTGTTTTCACAAGGTCTGGCACCAGTGGACCGTGAATTTGGCCAATTCATGGCGGTAATGAGCAGCCAGTTGATATTTTGTATCAAATTTAAAGACACCAATATACGTAATAGCCTTCGGCAAATCACATTAGATACTCATTTGTTAATTTCAGTCGTGGCAAATGGCTTATCGGGCCTTGTTTCAATCATGCAATTTTTACATCGGCCGGAGCCCCCAAGGCGCCCCTTGATTAGTGTGCTGGCGCGAGGTCGGACCAGAAGATCACCTTCTGGTTACATATGTTGTTCTGCATGAACCTCTAGTGCTAAATAATACACTTGACTCAGAAAGTATCATATTGTAAAGGACCGGCCTGGAGGAATAAAGTCGAACTGATGATATGCTCTGAAATAACACACGTACCACGGCATCCAGCGTTAGCTAGGATGCAATGGACGTTAGCTCTTGTATCATTGATAACATCACTACAGAACACTCCATTGTCTACTAAATTGTCGCCCTTTGACAAAAACATGATTTTTCTTCCTTAAATAGATCGGTCGTTTTCTGCAATTTGTGGCGCTTTCTTGACCTTTGTTTATTTACTTCTCTTGCCTTATGTTGTTCCCAGTCGCTTCGAGAAATCATTTACGCCGGTTGTAACTCATCCTAGCCTCAGGTGTGATATATGTTCTTCGCTTAGGCACAGTTAATACCTTACTGATCGGCAGCATTGCATCGTGAGGTGCCAAAAAGCCCCTCCACGTGCATTTTCGGGGCCCCGACCTTTCCTTTCGTCAGTATCTTCACATTTGCACCACTTCAGATTTTCTGACTCCCACACCCACTAGAACTTTCGTCCCACCATACGGTATGTAACTAATTTCGACATTTTAAGCTTTCATTAGGTATTTGTACGTGCCAGACTCTCCCATTGACGTACTATTTTGGGAAAGCGTGCCAATTGGCTTTCGGTGGGCCTTATTTAAAACGACCTCCAACGCGACTGTTTTCATTACACCCATGAAATTTTATGTTCGGTATGATACAAAAATGTCCCTTTTATCTCCATGCTAAGTTGCATCGTAATAGCTTGCTTCACTTTTGATGTGCAGTCATTCAAAGTTTGTGTCAATTTTTAGTGAACACCCTATACTCGGGTCCAAATGAAGAGAAAAAGAGAGAGAGTGAGACCGGAGAGGGGGAGAGAGAGAGAGAGAGAGAGAGAGAGAGAGAGAGAGAGAGAGAGAGGGAGAGGGAGAGAGAGAGAGAGAGAGAGAGAGAGAGAGAGAGAGAGAGAGAGAGAGAGAGAGAGAGAGAGAGAGAGAGAGAGAGAGAGAGAGAGAGAGAGAGAGAGAGAGAGAGAGAGAGAGAGGCAGACCCTGCAGGGCCGAACGGCGAGGAGCACGATATCACCATGGCGCGGCCGACGCCCCGCCAACAGCCCCACGCTCCAGCCTCCGCACTGAGGTGATCGTCCTCCCTTTACCAATTCAAAAGGCTCTGAGCATGCTGAACATCGTATGTCCAATGGTGTGCACGGACAATTAGTCAGACCCCGGCAGTCCATGCAGGCGGCGGTCTGGCGGTTCTGACGAATTCGGTGACAGGCCAAACTTTACCTACATCGACGGTCGACCGTGGCTCACGATGTCAGGAGTCGGCAGACAAGACGGCCCACCGACAATCACTCAGCCCCTGCAGAGTCCAGAGTCCAGATCAGCCGGATGGTACCGTTTGCTCATTGGACCGGTGATTTCTTCCCTTCGGTGCGGGGTGACAGGCAGTGACAGACTGGGGTCTGGACGCCAAAGCTTACCCACCCAAATTTCACCGAGTCACGCACCGATTTCGCTCTATCTATTGCCACCAGCGCTGGCTTTCTGTGCAGTGTGCTACGACATAAGACAGGCTCCGATCATGTCTCACCGCGCCATATCATTACCTAC